AGGACTTCTTTTTTCCCCCCATCCCCTTTCATGAGTCCGTTCATCCAAACACCATTTTCTCTTACAGCCATTAATACTCATAGACTACTCACAAACTATTAGGACTGTGAGGATCAGGACTAGCAGCAAACAAAGAAACAGAACAAGCTGGCTGGGAGTTGGACTTGTGAAGTGGAAGTCATAAGGGGGCTTTTAACAACCTCTTGTTTAAGGGCTACAGTCCCACCTGCATAGGCCAATAGGTGCTTCTGCCCAGAACCCCGTGAAGCAGCTGATGATACAACCTAATAAAACATGGCCTTTGCAACCACCAGAGCAATACAGCAATTCTAGGGGAATCAGCCACCTAGGGGCTGTCCCAAAATTATACTTTCAACCTTTGACCCTAAGTAGGCAGAGGGTGGGCACATTTTATCAGCAAGAATTGGGTGGATGGATGAATGCATCAGTTTCCTCCCCCAGGACACAGCCATGCTACCACTTCCCCACAGGGAGCAGGCACTCCAGATCAGAAAAGCAGACTATGTTGTTGGGGTTCCTTTACTCCCTCTTTGACCCAACTACACTGACAGAGTTTCTCACTACATTGAAAAGGGTTGCTGGTCCCCCCCCTCCCTCCTCATTTTTTGGTCAGGAATATCCACTGTTTGTGCAGGAGCACACAGAGCACAGCTAACAGTGAGCACCAGAGAATGAGCTCCTCAAGGACTAGTGACATTAGTGAGCACCCTCCAGTAGGCTTTTCTGAATCGAGAGGTGAAAGCACCTTCCACCATTTTTACTTTAATTCTTATGGTACAACAACAAAAAAGCAGGAGAAGAGCAGCATTGCAAACAAGGGATTGAAGTCTCCCAAGTGACATACATCCTAGATTTGCATTTCTACAAGACACTATTGAGTCAAACTTGCTTTTCCTCATCTATTTCCACTGGAAAGAGCCCCACAAGCTGTTTTTCAAAGATGACCAACACAACCACTGTCCAAAGATACAAGATGTGGCATGTATTTTTAATGCCATTGCAACAAATAAGGAAATCTGAAGTTTTAATGCTATAAAGGAGAAAAAACCCAAAAACTTCATCTGCCTTCAACAGAAGTCAAAATTTAGAAGTAACTGTTCTCTCAAGGGAGTTATTTAACACTTCTCAAAATTATGGCAGTTTTAATCTTCAGTTAAATTCATTGGCTGTGTTAAAGTGCTCATTAATGCTTTCTTCCTCCTATATTCAGTGTTCCAACAGCATAAGTTAATAAGCAACAAATACAATGGTCAAGTACAATATCAGAGCTTCCCCATATGAAAGATTTTTTTTTAGCTTTAGGATATGCAATGTTTCCTTTCACTGAGTTTTTCCATTAACAAGACATGTGGGTTTCATTTGTATGGATTAAAAGAATCATAATAGTTTTCCCTCTTCAAAACCTTCCGTGTCTCAGTTTCAAAACTCCCAAGAAATGCTGACCTACCAATATCAGCCTTTGTTTAACGTACAGAATTTTTGGCTGGCAAACATTTGACTCTGAGCTCTAATAAGACAAGAAATAGCAGACAAAACAGCAATTTTTCACATCACATATGTGAACTCAAGGCCAAACAGTGAAATAGAGCAGAAGTGCAAGTTTTACTGAGTCTAGTGAGCTCTGACATGAGATTTTCAGCCCAAAAAGTTTTGCCTACTCTTCTCTCAAGCTGAATTGGCTTCTTTAGTATACACATGGCCTCTGAAAAAGCTCTGCCTTTACAGTACAGTTATTCTTATATAAATAATAACAGAGGTGTAAGTACTGTAACAACAATAATAAAAAAGTGTACGTTTTTGAGAGAATAAAAGAAGTGGGATCAATGCAGTGAGAACTTACTTTCTCAAAGTAAGGAGAAACTGGGATAGGTAAAAAAGCTAGCAACATTAACTTTGGCAAAGAACCTATAAGCTCTGCCAGCACATGGAATAGGCCTTGCCACCGTAAAGAGATTTACTAAAGGAACTGAGAGTAAGAATCACCTCTTACAGAGGATTCCAGCCACAAGCATTTTTACAGACAAAGAATCACATCAGGCCCTTCCTTGGCCACTGGCACAGCAAGTTTTAGCCACAAGGAATATTAAAAACTAACACCAAGGTATTTTAATCCAGAATGCGAACTTGTCATTTTCTGGTTCCAAGGATGAAGCAAAAACAAAGAGGCACAACCCTTAACCATTTTCCTCCTACTCTACTTAAACAGGGAAGAGACAAGCACTTTCTATCCTTCTCCATGCTAACAAAAAGGTGGTGAGGTCCCTTTCCTGTCTAAACCTAGGCAATCATTGAGAACACTCTCCACTTTCAGGCCATACCATGTAGTAAATTTTTTCTCTTCTCTGGCTATTTCATTTATGAAATCCAAATCGACATCCTGCCTTGCTCTACCTCTCTTTTTTCCTGTAGCTTCACAGAAATGGATTTCAGAAAAGCTTTCCTAATTTCACTGCTCTTTGTAGCAGCTCCCATGTGGCTGAGAAGTGAAACAAAATTAAAGGCTTTCTCTGCCCCTCTGCATGGGGACAGAGGAACACCCACATAAGAATGCTGATGTAAGAATCAGTAGTTACAGATATACCTCAAGCCAAACACAAAGTATAGCTGAGCATTAAATTAAAAAAAAAAAAAAAGAAATACACACAAGGCCTGGTCTGTGTTATTTTCCCCTCAGACACAGCCACAGAGGCACAAGCACTCCACATTTTTCCCAGCCAGCTAACCTGAAGGTGAAAGCCTCCACAACTCAACAACAAACAACCTTCAAGCTTCAGGATCCTTTGGTCAAGCAGCCCCTCAAATTTCTACAGAGAAACAGACCCAACATCTGTGCACTCTGATAACACTATTCCATAGATTTAACTTTCTAAATTACCAGCAAGACAGGACAACTTAATAGTTTCAGTCAAACGGTCTTAGCACAGCACGTTAGGCTTATTTAGGGTTTTCTTTCTTAAAGAGAGAAAACAAAGAGACATAACAGATGCACACAACTTGGCTTTTAGCCTTTGGGACCAAGAAGAGATGACAAAATTCAGGGAACAACCTGGCATTGCAAAATTATTCCTGGGTAGTTCCACAAGCCAGGAAATCAACTCTTCGATACCCAATCAGACAAAAGTTCACCCCAAACTTCTTACCTAACAAGTATACTTTTAAGAACCAGAGTAAAAAATAGAGACCAGTACAGGAGGATCTATCTGATGTCCATTCAGGTCATCAGACGACTGGTCATTCACTTCAGGTGAACCTACTGTGAGCTTGCCATATTACACTGTGTACTCAAACACTGGTACCTGCTGATCCTGTGTTAGCGTACATATTACTCAGAAAAAAATTTGTTTCTTCACATCACACACTTCCCCTCTCCCTCCTACTCCACACAGCACAAAAAGCAATAACCTTTGTATAGGTCACTGTATGCCTGTGAGTTTAAACCATAACAATGTACAGCTGAGCACATAACAGTGAGGAAGGGGCTCACAGTATTTTTCCCCCTCCGTCTATTATGTTACAGAAATGAATTGCACAAAAGAGCATAATTCTCCGGGGTGACCGAAAAGCCCAAGTATTATTGTGATACGTGGCTGAATAGCCAGTGTGATGCACGTTGTGTGTGTTACAGAAATGTTGCGTTTGACCTACAGATTGAAAACCAGTGTCAACTGCTGCCTAACTAACAGCTCCCCCTCCCTTCCCCCCCTTCTCCTCCTCCTCCTCTCCCCGCCCGCCACCTTTTTCCTCCTGGTCAACCAAGAAATGGAGCTCCCATGTGCCAAGACCTTGCATCTTATTTTGTCACGAAAACGAAGGGGGGAAGGGGTGGGGAAAAATTATTCTGTGAATAAATACAAGTAATACTGAACTTGAGAAAAAAAATCCTCTTCACCCTCCCCCCACCCTGAGACCTGAACAGTTAAGAACAAACATACTTAATAATAAAAAAGGTATCCAACATTAGTGCACAGTCTGAGGATGACCCACGAGAAACCTTTTTCCTGAACCCACACAATAGTAACTCTGAGCATTATTCGATAAAGAGACACCGTGGCTTTCCACACTATTCTTTTTGTTTTAAGGCGAGAGGTGCGGAGGATTCAATTAAGTTTGGGCTGGGCAAAGGGACAACTCCAAACGCTAGGATCTCCAGGCAGGAGGAGGGTTTTCGCTGGCTTCAACCTCCACTTACAAAGGAACAATACAAAAAAAAAAAAAAAAAAAAAAAGAAAAGCTTAGATTTCAAACTAAAGAGGTCAACAGCCTGTCTTTCTATACACGGAGATACATCAGTACTAACGTGCTTCCAGCACCTGCCTTTCAGCACAGCCCCAATTCCTTTGTTTGCTCAAAATTTGCTTCCATACCACTTTAAATTAGCTTACAAAGAACCGCAGCGGAATAGCTGGAACGTGAAACAATAATTTTTTTGGAGGAGGGAGGCGAGCAGCTTCTTAGGAAGAGAGAAAATTAAAATACAGACCCAAGTCACTTCTAAACACCTTCGAAAAAATATTTGTAACTTGATGTCTTCTAGTTCCACACCTATCACCGAGACTACAGAAACACGAGTTCAGGAGAAGATAGAACAAAAAAAAAAAAAAAAAAAAAAGGGAAAGAAAGAGAGAAAGAAAGAAAGAAGAAGAAAAAAAAATCCCACCCAACTGCCATCTCCTGCCTCCTCCAGCCCTGCCAGCTTCCCTGTTCCTCCCTGCCTGCAAAGCGCCCTCTGGAAAGCATCGAGACTTCTTTTATCAACCGTGTGCGTTGGGGAAGGGGGGAGGAAGGGGGGGGTCCTTGTTCTTGCTCTGGGTGTTTGAGACTAGAATTAAGGGAGGATTATTTTTGGACCCCTTTCGATGAGAGGAGCCCCGGGTACCCCACCCCCCACCCCCCACGGGGCTCCGCTCATCGGGAGGGGTCCAAAGCACTGGATGAGGGGGGAGGAGTTGCCCCCCCCATAAAATATAATAAAGACTTACCGGGGTCGAAATCAGGGACCACCGCCTGGTACTGCGGCCCGACCCTCATTCCGCCGCCAGCTGAGGGAGGCAGAGGGACAAGCGTTACCCGCGTGGGCCCAAGCGGCCCCTTCACCCCCCCCCAAAAAAAAACCCACCCCCCCTCCCGCTCCTCACCGTGCTCCTCATCGCTGGAGGACCCCGAGCTCCCCTCCTCCCAGGAGTTCCCGCTGCTGTTGCCGTTGGGGGCGGCGGATAAACTTTTACTGCCGCCGTTGTTGTTATTATTCGCCCCGGCGGCGTTGTGGTTCCTGCCCCGCCGTTTCCCCGAGACCTCCGGGCCCTTCTCGATCATGGCTGGCATTTAGGGGAGGAAGGGGGGGGGGGGGGGGAAGAAGGGGAGGGGGGGGGGCAGAGGGTTTAAAAACGGGGGGGGGGGGGCTGTGGGAGGCGCCAAGGGCGGGCGGGAGCCGGGGCGGGCCGGGCCGGTGCGCGGCGGTGGCGGCGCTGCTACATCCCCCACCGCGATCGCCCCGAACTTTGAGGCTCATCCCAGCCCTGCGCTGGGACTCCGCTCAACCTGCGCTGCTGCCCGCCGAGGGCCCCGCCCCTCCCGCTCCCGCCGCTGCCCATTGGCCGAACCTACATTTTGGGAGGCCATCCCGCTCGCCCATTGGCCGGCGCCGCCTGTCCATCCTGGCGGCCCCGCGCTTCCGTTCGCTGGGCGCGGCGGGGGCGGAGCGCGGGCCGTGCGTGTGTGCTGGAGCCGCGATCTCTCCGCCCGGCGATACCTCTGCTCCCCGCTCCCCCGCTCCGGGCCGAGCGGGGGAGAGGCGGGCCCGCAGCTCCCGCCGGGGAGCCTCTCCTCGGCCGCTCCCCCGGCCCGGCCCGGTTCCGCCGCCCCGCCGGGAACTCAGTCCCGGGAGAAGCGTGGCGAGGGACTACTTTTCCCCCCCCAGCCGCCTCCCCCCGCGGCGGAAGGTTACGGCGCGGTTTGAATGGGATTCCCTACAAAGCTCAGTTTCCCTGGGGGATCTGAGCCCGGCGGGGTTGGAGGTTTGTTATCCTCGTGTTCGGGACGGCTCCTGCCGGCAGCACCGGCCTCAGCCCGCCGAGGGCAGAGGTGTCCCGTCGGCCGGAGTGGGGCGGCCCCGCCAGAGCGGTGCCGAGGTTGCGGGACGGCGCTGGGGCTGGGGGCGCTCCTGCTGCCCCGAGGGAACAGCAGCATCCTGCCGGGAAGTGGGACCGCACAGACGGGGGTCCGCGGTGCAGCCCCGCCCGCAGGGCGCTGCCACTACCCCCGGGGCAGAGCCGCCCGCCGCGGGGCTCGCACGGTGCCGAGGAGCCGCTGCCGCTGAGCTCCGCTCAAGTAACTCCTGAGTTCCTCCATCCCTGCTCCCGTGCCGAGCCGGGATTAGCGCTGGGAGCCCGGCCGAGCAACAGATCCCGCGCCCCGCGTTCCCACATTCCCAGCGGCGCGCCCGGCTCCCCACGCGGCGGAGGAGGACGAGCCGGCCGGGATCAGGAATCCCTCCCGGGGGCGGCCGCATCCCACGCCCGGTGCCTTCCCCGGGGTGACCCAGCAGCGAGCGGCTGCCCTGCCGCCGGCAGCGCTCCGGGAGCGGGGCGAGGGAGGGAACAAAAGGGGCAGCGGGACCACTTTCCCTCCCTTCGTCACACGAGGCTCCTGCCGGGAAAACCTGCACGCCGCGGGGAGAACTGATGCGGGAGGAGGGACGGGAACGGGGGGTCCGGACCCGCCCTGGCTAAATGGGCAACCAAAGTATGTACAGACCGCTCGCTGTTATTTTGCGACTTGGACTGTACGTCAGGGTGAGGCAACACAATGCACGATCATGGAAAGCAGCTTGTGGGGTGTGTCTGCTATTTTCATTCAAATTAACTTCTGTAGCAAGTTGGTTTTTTTATTGGCCTGTGCAATTAAAAGTGCCATTTGACTAGCAGCGGTTATCTCGTATCAGCCAAACTGTCCCCAGCCACTCCCCGCCTCCCTCTGCCATTTTAATCCAAGAGAATTTGCACAGGGGGAGGGGGAAAGAGCTGCCGAGGGAGAGCCGTGGTCTCCAGCCCTGGGCTTATCCTTCCCTCTCTATGTTGTGCCTAAGATTATCAAAATCATTTCACTTCTAGTTTAGACACGGTATTTTCTCCATTAAAATTACGGAAAGAAATACCTTTTCGAAATGCATGGTAGTTTGTTTCAGCATACTGTCGTCTTTACAATATCTCCTTTCTCCTCTACACTCGGTATGTGTGTTGGGTGTACATACTGACATGCACAGTTTCCTTCATGTACACATGCATGTACCTGTGAATATTTATTCAGCACAGTTCTTTAACGCAGAAAAACTGAGCTCACTTTGACTGCATAAAAATAACTTTTGCTAGCTCACAATACTAAATTTTATGACGATGACTCTTGATCCCACACTCTTTAAAAATATCAGCTCTAAATCAGGGGAGTAATTAGTGATGCTCTTAAACCCCAGCACTGACAGCCACAAATATTTTCCAGTGTGAAGTGTATTACTTTTGTAGTGCAGAATACATTTTCATGATAGACAGGAATGCAAACATGGCTGAGTGTTCGTTATCCTTCTCTGTACTCTAGGATTTCTATGCCAGAAATCCTAACATTCTAGGATTTCTACACCAGAAATCCAAGAGCAGGAAAGGAACACCCACTCTTTCATTTAAAAATGAGCTTGAGTGAAATTCAAAAGGTTTCTCCATTGCTTTTGAAAGTCCCACCACTACAAAAAAAAAAAAGGCTTACCCAAGACTTAGGCTGAAACACACCTGAACTTGAACTTGAACCCGAGACCACAGATGACATTTGGAAGTGTGTGCATACAGTTTACACTGAGACGTGTGTACAGCTTTGCAAATTGGGGCCTAATTTTTGTCTTCACTTCCTCTCTCTCCTTCCCTCCCTCCTCCTCTCTTTATAGCCACTACCCACTTAGGCCCCAGGATTAAAACCTTAAGTCAATCATCTAAATTATTTATAACACAATTTCATTCATTTAAACTGTTGAAACAACATTTACTGCCACTTCACCACTGTTTGCCTTTCCCAAAGCCGTGGCCCCTGCAGCTCCTCCTGGAAGCAGGATTGAGCAGTGCAGTCCACCCCCAGGCTAAGGGAGCAGTGTATTCCCTGTCCCCAATTCTGCTTGGCAGTGCCATGAGGGAGGCCACCACTGCTGAAGCCATACCCTGGGGCAGCAGGGCACACTCTGCCCCTCCTGCCCACTCACCAGGCTGCTCCGTGACCCCAGCAGAAGATAAGGAGATGCCCAGGAACAGCAGCAGATCTCTGCCTTCTCCCTTGGGTGCCAAAGGCTGCATGTGTGCACTCTGTGCGTGTGTGTATGTCCCCAAAGCAGGAAGTCTTGGCATTGTCACTGTCACTGCCAGTTTGCCCCTGTCACAGCTGTTGTCCCAGGCCAACAACATCCTCTTCACCCACAGCAGGGCTCTTATTTGTTTTCAAACCTTTCTGCAGAAATTCATAAGCCCTGAACAGAACATCTCTGATACTAATGGGAGCTTTTTTTTTCTAACCATTGAGAAGATTTTTCGTGCTTGTTTTTTCTTCCTGAACACTGTGGTGTTGGGTTTCTTTCTGCTTCGGCTTTAGCCTGAAGTTATGAGGGTGTTCCCACGCAGCACTACAGATTTTGGTGGTGTTCTTGAAGGAAACTTTGAAAAATTCTTTTCTGGCCATAAAGAAAACTCTTTGCAGAGTGTACATGTGAACATGTACACAGAAACTGTACACAAAACACAGAATTGTGTTTTATTTTTTAGCAGCGATAGTGAATACACTTTTAGCAGCCTCTAATACAAGTGCCAGAAGAGCAATAAATTCTACTCCTCCGGCTCATGCCGTTTGCTCTGCAGAAAACCTGTGTTAAAACTTATTTTGAAGTTCTGCAAGGTGGGACAGATGAGGAGGAAACCCCTTGAGCACTAGGTGAGCCTGTGGTGTGTATGGGGTCTTGTTTACCTGGATCAAATCTCTATTGAGACACATTAGACCATGATCCCACATGTGACTGTGCACACCTGTGTGACCTGCCAAGGCTCACCAAGAGGAGTTTCGTGCATGACCTGCAACAGACTGAGTTATGTGAAGCAGGGATGGTATTTTTCCTAGATCCTGAGCTTGACTGCAACTTCTGGACATTACTGGAATGTAGGGGTTAACCTGCTCAGCTGTTTACATATCAGACCAAAAAGGGGGGGAAAAAAGGTCTCCTCCTTATAAAGACAGTGTTATTGTTGCATGTGTGTTGTAACCTAACAGGTTGCATGAGGCGGGACTGTCCTTTTAAATAATTTCTTGAAATTTGTTTCTCTTTGTCGAGGGAAAAGCACCTCTCCTTGCCAGTTTTTAAATGAAAACTTTTCTTATTGCCATTAACCCTGTCAGTCTCACAAGTGAAATACAGATGAAGTAGAAATGCAGCCGGGACGCCCAACAACTGAGCAGCCTTCATTCCCTGGATGAAAAAAATAGTGTCTTCTGCCTCTTTCTTGGTCTCCTTCCTTTTGAGACTTTTCCCAGGGCAGCAATGCTCATCATGCATCCTTGGGGCTGCCAGTTCTTGCAACAAAGGGTTACAAGAGCTAAAACCCTACCCATTTGCTGGAGCTGTAAAAAGCAGCTCTCACCTCTTTTGTACAGTATTTTGCTTGAAAACAGACATGCTAAAAATGCTTACCCCAGTGAGAATGTGCCTGTGTGTTTACACAAGTATATATTTATGTATATATGTATATATACACACATATATTTGGTTACTAGTAGTAAAAGGGACAATTAATCATGCTCTGGACTGATTGTTTTTAATACTGAAAGGCTATTAATCAGGAAAATGTTACCCTTTGAACAAAATGTTTATACAGTCAACACTATGGATTGTTGTTTTTTCCCCTGGTGCTAAGCTGCCTGCTAATGCAGAGCGGAAGTCGGGTTTATAATCTCTTACATTAGAACTTCGTGCTCCAAGTTCGACAACAATTTTGGCTGGAATTTGGAAGGAATGCATGGGAGTTGATGCCTGGTTCTCTTAGATTTCAGGGGGACTTGGTTGTTCAAACCTCAAATCTCTGGAAGCGTTTACAAGCCTAAAAGACAGAAACAGGCATCATGTGCAAATTTCAAAAACACCTCCTTCTGCTGAAAAAAAAACCCAAGGGGCATCTAATTTCACTTTAATGTAACTAAAAGACTTTTAAAATCTGTCCCTAAATCTCTTGCGAGCCTTTGCAAATTTGTCCTTGGAGCCTTTCAGCCTGAAAGTTGCTTTTAGAGAAGGAATAGTATAGCAAATTTTAATCCAAACTTTTATTTCCCACTGGAGAGAATGGCTCATATCCTGTAGTGAGTGGGAGGCCAGCGGAAAAAATACAGGGGGGACTGTGGTGGGAGTGAGAGGGTGCAGAGAGGCAGCTGGGGCTGGATCAGCAGCAGGAGGCAGGAAAAGGGATGCTGGCAGCTGCAGGGTAAGCACGGCAGGACCAGGGGAGCCACAGCAGCCAAGGAAACCATATCTTGGCTTGAAGCAGAGCTCCAGGCTGATCCGGAGGGGAGGCACTAAGGGCTGGCCCTGGGAGGAAGGAGAGGATGAGATTGAAATCCTGCACAGGCAGAGGCTGACGACGCCAGGGAGAGCAGTGGGACAAACACACGACAT